TAGAATCAACCCTGGAAGGTTTCAAATGGTTTTGGTAAATATAGGCAGAAGAACAGGCAAAATGCCTTATCTTTTTCTAACCCTTCTCCTCTGATTATGGCTCCTAGATCATGGGGCTTAGAGATAGAAGTCAACTTACTGAATATCTAGGTTGACTCCTTCATTTTATGGATGAGGAGACTGAGGTCCACAGAGGTTAAGTTGTTTTGGCTAAAGTCACACAGGGAGTCAGTAACAGAGTTGGGATTTGAATCAGTCTTTTGACCACAAATCTGGGGCTTGGTCTATTCCTCAAGTTAAGCTCACTCCCTCCTTGCAGCTGCAGATAGAGCTCCCTTGCCTTTCCTGTGCTTTAGCATTGTGCTTATGATCTCTGTAATGATAAAATGAGGTAATATTTGTAAAGGGCTCAGCACGGTGCTTGGCACATAGCTGATGCTTAATAAACAACTGTTTCTTCCATTCCTCCCTCCTTCCCTCCCCTCTGTCTTTCTGGGATCTTCTCTCTTGTTTTTTTTTTTTTTTTTTGGTTAGGCAGTGGGGTTAAGTGACTTGCCCAAGATCACACAGCTAGTAAGTGTTATGTGTCTGAGGCCGGATTTAAACTCAGGTCCTCCTGACTTCAGGGCCAGTACCCTATATGGGATCTTCTGTCTTGGCAATAGCAATAATAATACTTTTTACTTGTATACTACTTCGCAGTTTATAAAGAACTGTCATAAATGTTTCATAAACAACACTGCTGGGTGAGGAGAAATGTCCCATTTGAAGAAGCGAAGGGTTGACATTATCCCTGTTTTACAGGTGAAAAATTGAGTCTCAGAGAGGTTGAACAACTTGCCAGAGATTATGCTAGTTAATACTTTCATCTGGTCTAGATAGATGTGTTAGTCATGTATGACTAGTGAGAAAATGAATACCCCCCTCAAAGGCTGGAAAAATGGGTAGTAAAATGAAACATTGCCTGTTCTCAGGGAGCTTGCATTCCAATACAGGGAGACAAAACATATAGAGGGGTAAGCTGTAGGGCAGATGACAAGGCTCAGTGGTCCTTAAGGTGCATCGAGATGGCAGATGGCAATATGGTGGGAACTGGAACCCAGACCTCACTGATCTTTCCACTTCCCATCCTTGAGGGTGTAGGGGTAGGGGTAGGAAGGGAGGCAAATCATTTTGTCATGATGTCCCAGAACACCATGAAGTGCCTCCCTGGGTTGGGCTGGCCCTCTCAAGAGCAATCAGTTCAACCTCTTGCTCTTTCCAGCCCAAACTCAGGGATTTGATTGTGGGGTAGAATTTGAAACAGAGAAGAAGGAAGAGGATGAATAGGGGGAATCAGAGGGTAGAACTGTGAGAATTATTGGTGTTGGGGCCAGAAAGGTAATCATTTCCAAACAGATTCAAGGTTTGGTCAAAGTGGCTGAGGCCAGTGAACTTAGTGAGGGATCACAATGGGAGCTGAATAAGAGATTTCTGGCTCATAAAAAAGAACCCAAATGGTGAAAAGTGAACTCTTTGGATTGGATAGAAATTGTCTCGTTATATTGTAAGCTCCTTGAGGCTAGGGATTATCTTTCGCTCCCCCTGTCCCCCTTTTTAAAAATCTCCAACACTTAGCATAGTGCCTGGCACTTAGTAGGCACTTAATGAATATTGGAATGTTTTCTTATCTGTAAAATGACCTAGGAAAGGAAATGGTAAACTTCTCCAGTATCTTTGCCAGGAAAACCCCAAATGGGATCTCAAAGAGTCTGGACACGACTGAAAAGACTTAATAACAAGAAGATGAATGTTGATTGATTGAGTATAGGGGAAGACAGTAGCAATGAAAGCAGAGGGAATATGGAAGGAGAGGAAAAAAATAGATTGGGGAGTTGGAGAAGAGGGAAAGGGAGAATGCAGATAGGAGAGGGGAGTGGCAAGGATAAGTAGGGGAAGAGAAGAAAGGTGAGGAGCAAGAAGAAGAGGAGGCTGGGGGAGGAGAGAAGAGGGAGGACAGGACCTGAGAAGGGTGGGGCTGGATTCTCCCATTGAAGGCAAACACCACAGCTCTGCAGTCCTGGGCTCTGGCCTGCTTAGGGCAGTTGTGGCTTGGTCTGGATTGTTCTGAAGCTACAGCTGGAAGGGTCTTTCCTGCTTGTCCTCAGGGGTAAGAGGGTCTTGGTCTCTCAGCTAGGCTCCCGTGTCCTTTGTAAATGCCTCCAGACTGTTTGTGGATGGAGAGCTGGTGTTTGTGTGGGTGTTGGGGGGTGAGGAGATTGCAGTGGAAGAGGAAGGTGGCATGGCAGTGGCCTTGATGTCTTAGAACAATGGGGAGGGCTCATCTCCGTGGACTGTGCTGCAGACTCTAGGGCGGGTTGTTTGGCTGCCTGATTTTCCCTGTTGGTATAAAGGAAGGATTCATTTCACCTACCTTCGCAGGGAGGTGTTCAGGGAACATTTGGCAGACAGGAAGAGGTGAGGAAGAGCATGGAATTTGAAGTAAGAGGGCTTGGGTTCAAATTTCAGTCTTGCCACTTACTGCCTATGTGACCTTGTGCAAATCACTTATTTTCTCTGGGCGCCAAGTTCCTTATCTGTTAAATGGAGGGGTTGGATTAGACGGCCTCTTGTTCCTTCCAACTTTAACATCTAGAATTCCATGATCCCTTTCTCTTCGCTGTCTGGGGTCAGCTCCACAAAGCAGGTTGTGTCTAATACAAGACCAGCACAAGAACTGATAGAACATTGTCCTTCTTTCCATCATCCTTTGAGGTTGCTTCGCGTGGAGAGGTTTCCCTGATTTAGGTTTCTGGAGGAAGGCTGAGTGTGTTCGGCAGAGAGATGGGCGTATCTCCTGCTTTTAAAGACCTCTGGGATGGTCCAGATTCTAATAGCTTCCCTTTGGGGTCAGAGTGCACTGCAGGTGACCTGCTGTTGTTGTGTTCTTCAGTGATGTCAGACTCTTTGTGACCCCATTGGGGTTTTCTTGGCAAAGATACTGGAGTGGTTTGTCATGTCCTTCTCCAGCTCTTTTACAGATGAGGAAACTGAGGCAAACAGGGTTAAGTGACTTGCCCAGGGTCACACAGCTAGTAACTGTCTGAGGCCGGATTTGAACTCAGGAAGATGAGTGTTCCTGACTCCATGCCTGTCACTCTATGCACTGCACCACCTAGCTGACCTCTAGGTTGGGTCTAGATTCCATAACTTTCCTTTGGAGCCAGCATACACTGAAGGTGACCAAAGGAAAAACTGTCCATAGTGGCATATGTGGCTTGGAGGGCAAGACATTTGTCCTTTTTCCTTTGTATCTCCATTGTCTGATTTTTCCTTTGTATCTCCATTGTCTAACATAGTAGGTACACAGTAGGCACTTAATGCATGCTTCTTGTTGAATTAGATGTCCAGAACTATTCAAACCCTGATCTGCCCTGTGTTCTTTTCTGGGCTTTATCACCAAGGAGGGACATGGGGATTTTGGGGAGGAAGAGCCACAGAGCCTGCAAAGGATAGTAAGTAGGGGCAGGAAGAAGAGGAAAAGGACTGTGGTGAACATTTGGTCTTATTTCTAACCTGGATAGTGACAAGTGCATGTTGAGAATTTTAGAGGGATGGCCTGGCATATCCCTCATGGCTTCACGTGGAGCCACACAATTACAGGATGCTGTGGAGTCCACCTCCCTGGTATCTCTTGAATATTTCTCCTTCTGTACTTCTTGCATCCTCCATAGTGGTAGCAAGGACTCATTACTACCTACCCGGACTATTGCAATAACTTCCTAAGAGGTCTTCCCAACTCCACTTTCTGCCTTTTCAAGTCATTCGCTCTCCCATTGCTAGATTGAGCTTCCTTATTCATAGATCTGGACTCAACAATGCTCTGCTCAGAAATCTTCCATGGGACCATATTGTGTCATGAGTAAGGCTCAAACTTCCTTGCTGGGCATTTAAAGCCTTTATAATCTGGGGCTACCTTACCTTTCTGCCCTACATTTCTATACTATTGCTCCTCTTTTCATACTCTTGTCCTCTACTAAGTGGACTCCTTTCTTTCCCTTAAACATTCCCCGCACCTTCCCCAGCTGTGACTCTTTATTCCCACTGTTCCTGTGCCTGGAACATCTCTTCTTCTCTTTTGCATGTTAATTTACTCAGCCTTTAAAGTCTCTCTAATCTGTAATGGACTTTTCCTGTGCCTGGAACATCTCTTCTCTTTTGCATGTTAAATTTACCCAGCCTTTAAAGTCTCTCTAATCTGTAATGGACTTTTCCCATCCTGAAACCTCATGCAACAATTTGCAGTATGTTTATTTTTTTCTTAGTCTAAATATTTATGAAGTAGGAGGCAAAGCAAGAATAATTATGGCATTGTATCTATATTGGGGTACGCTTTCTTACCAGTGCATGCAGTGTCTGGGAAAGAGCAGGCACAAACTTTAAGTAGTATGGTAGTGAAGCAAATGTGTTGGGAATATACATGCCCAAGGACTACCCATACGTCTGGAAGCCCAGGCCTTAGTGGCCTTGGGCATGGCCTAAGTACTTGGCATGTGTAATTGTGTATAGTTAAATTGTGTATAGATCTGTTAGATCCCTCTACTAGACCATAAGACTCGAAGGCTGGGATTGAGTTTTCTCTAAATTTTGTACCTTCCTCAGTGACCAATTCAATGCCCTGCACAAAGCAAGCACTTAATTAAATTGAATTTCTTGAAGCCAGTCAGTTCAGTAGAAATCTGCTAAATGGGAAGAATCTAGTAGTTCTGTGGGAGCTTCCTAGATTTCCTAAATTGAGGGGGAAGGGTATGGGGCAGGCCAATGACGCAAGGAAGGTTAATACGTGTGCCTGTTTTTCAGTTTGGGGTTTTGCAAAGATCTGTGTCAAAGCCTTTCTCCCCATTTGCTGATATTTACCAGAGGTAAAGAGGAGGCACACTAGGCCAGGCATTTTTAACTCCAGTGTCTTGTCTGATCTTTGTCACCTGCTCCGCTTAATAATATTCCTTTGTCTTTTGCAGAGCCCAGGAGCTATGTCGAATCTGTGGCTCGAACAGCTGTGGCTGGACCCCGAACCCAGGACAGTGAGCCCAAGAGCTCAACTCTCCTAACTACACAGACATACGGTTCTGAGACACCGCTGAGGAATGGAATTCTGGGCAACTCTTTTGCCCCACCCAGTCCCATCTCAACCAGCAGTCCCCTCCTTGGCACGGACAGGTATGGGGCCAGTTGGAGTGGAGGATTGTAGTGAAACTGGTGGGGGTGCAGAGAGTAGAGGGTGGATGGGGGTGTTATTAATACTTTGGTTGGTGGACCATTGTGAGAGTCTTGGGGTGGGGACCAGGTAGTCTTCACTGTGTTTGGAGGGGATAGATAATTGCAATCATGTCTGATTCGTTGTACCTTCTGCATCAATCAATCAGTAAGCATTTACTGAGCACCTATGAGGGGCCTGAGTTATACCAGACACCGTAGGGGATACAAGGTAGTACAAGGTACAGCCCTTGCCTTTACCAACTTTTCAATCCACACGGATATGAGGTATATATACATGAAATTATGAAATGACCTTATATATTATGCTAAAAGAGTGATGTTGATGAGATAAGGTGTCCAAAAGAGGGAAAGAGAAATTATGGGTTTGAGTGGCCTCTGGACTCTCCATAGAGGAGGAGGATGGGGGGACTTCAGGTAGAGGCTGAAGAATGAGTGGGATTTGGGTAAATAGAGATGAGAGATGGGAATTCAGGAAAGGGAGTAAGTGAAACTATCCCAACCTGGTTGGATCTCAAGTTTGAAGAAGATGAATAGCTGGTCTGAAGGAGGTTGAGGCCAGATTGTAGATAGTGTGTTTGAATCCTATAATTCTCATGTGCTAGCTCCATGGGATCACCCAGAGAGAGGGTGAGAATCTGTCAGTTTTAGTCTCTGCTATGTCGTGATTGCATTATGTAAAATTTATATTATAGCTATATGTGCATTTGCCTTATCTCTGTTACTAGATTATGAACCCCTAGAGGTCAGGGGCTGTGTTTTGATTTATCTTTGTATTCCCATGGCCTGTACCAGTGCTTTGCATGTTTTTTTTTTTGAGGGGGGTGGGGAACAGGGAATTAGACCCAAGATTTCATTGATATAAAGAATTCCCCCTTTACCAAAGCAGATTAGTACTGGCTTTGCAATTTATAGTCCCAGACAGTTGCTTAGGGGACTGGGAGGTTAATAGCTAGCTTACATTTAGTATTGAGTTTTAAAGTTTGCTGAGGGCTAGAACTAGGGGAAGTCAAGTGACTAGCCCAGGGTCACAAAGCCCGTTTATATTGAAGATAGACCTTAAACTCAGACCTTCCTGATTCCAAGGCGAGCACTTTCTCTGCTGAGTCCCAGTGGAATGGGATTGAAAGAGGGTCCAATGAATGGGTCTGTGTGACCTGGGACAAGTCATTCATCTTCCCCATGTCCTAGGCAGTTCTCTAAGATTATTCACTAAAGCTTTTATTAAACACTTACTATGCCCTGGGCTCTGTGCTAAGCTCAGAGAAAGTGGTGATCTGCATAGGTAGAGGGATTTCCTCCTTTGGGAGTTCTCTCCTAACACTGATGAAGTCCTTGTGTATCTAGGGAAGGTTGAGAAATTGTATCCCTTGTGTGTTACTTTGCAGTGCAGGTTTGGTGACTTTACAGTAACACGTATGATTTGACTTTTTTTTTTCCTCTTTAAGAGCTGGGATTTCATCAATATGGAGAATCCCACATGTGAAAACTCCCTCCCACTAGGACAGAGCATCAATTTCTCTGTAATTTATTGAAAGAGTGGCCTGGGGCACTGGGAAGCTAAGTCCTTTGTCCTTGAGCATATAGCTAGTATTAAGAAATCCAGGACTTGAACCCAGGTCTTTCTGGACTCCCGGGTCAGCCCTCTGTCCACTAAGCCATGCTGCCTTTTCTGACTTGACTTATTTATACCTATGGAGGGCATCATTTTCTGGCATTAAAAATTCATATATTTGTGAAAAGTCATCCTGTAGAAGGTATCACCCATTGTCCCCCCCCCTACACGCACTTCTCCCATTTGCATTCGAAGTGGCTGACTCCTTTTGCCTTCCCCTAATCTGGGTTCCATTGCTTCTATTTTGCTGTGTTCAGACAATATTTTGTGGAAGAAGAGAGATTTGATCAAACAATCATCGATTTACAGGGGGAGGGGACCTTAGAGGACATCTAGTTCAACCCTCTCATTTTACAGATGAATAACCCAGTGGTTAGTGACTTGTCCAAGGTCATACAGATAGGAAATAGTAGAGTTGGGATCTGAACCCAGGACCTCTGACTCCAGATCCAATAGGTTTTCCCACTATGCCAAATTGCCTCAGCTGCATCTGGACACTGGAGGAAGGGTGGGCTTTGGATTGTTAGAAAGGCAGTGGGGGGAAAAGGTATTCCCACATGGGCAATAGATTGAGTAAGGTTAGTAATGCATAAAGTGTGAGTGTGGTTGAGTTGGAGTGTAGGATATGATAAGACAGGGAAGGAAGGCTGGGGACACACTGTGGAGGGCCTTTTGTACCAGGCTGAGGAGTATGTACAAGGTTAATTCCTGGTTGGGATCCTCTATAAATGAATAATTCTGTCACTGAATCACTAATGCTCTTGACCTCCCTCCCACATCTTCCCCACTCCACCCCTCAAACCTCTAGGGGATCCATTCTGAATCTGGGACAGGGGCTCCAGCCATCTCCTTCTCTGTGTTTTCCTCTGGCCAAAGGGAAATTCCTTGGGCGGGGGTAGGGGGGCAGGGATCACTTCAGAGCATGGGAGTTGCAGCACTTCCTTCCTGAAGAGTGTCCTCCAGGCCAGGCCAGGCCAGGCCAGGCCAGCCTAGGCCAGCCTAGCCCAGCCCAGCCCAGCCCAGCCCAGCCTAGCCTAGCCCTCCTCTCTTTGGCTCTCTCTCCTTTCTGGTAGCTCTTTCTCAGATGGGTAGGGCTAGGGGAAAGACAGAACCAGTAAGAACAGACCTCCTTGGGTCCTATCCAGGATGATCAGATGCAATTAGTCTGGGGATTCGAGGAATTCTGGAAACACCGGCCTTGGACAGACCTTTCAGAGGTTACAGAATCACAGAACCTCAGAGCTGGAAGGGACCTCAGAGGTCATCTAATTCAAACTGTACCCACTTCAACCACAGCCTTGGCAAGTATTCATCCATCCTTCCTTTGAAGACTTTCAGTGACAGGTCTCTGCCTCCCATCCCTTTGAGGCAAGTTCTCCTTGTTAGGTGAGATTACATACTGGGCTCCTTATTATATTACAAGTGAGCTCCTTATAGAATATAAACTCCTTGAGGGTAAGGATGGTCCCATTTTTTTCTTTGTATCACCAGTTCCTCAAACTTAATGCTAGTTAGTTGATCCAGTAGGAAGTTATTCCTTATATCAAGGTGAAATCTGCCTCTTGGAAACTCTCCCTCTTTATCCTCTCTACTACTGCTCCTGAGTCTGTCTTATACAGCCCAGAAAAACAAGTATAATCCCTCTCCTACATAACAGCCCTTCAGATGCTTGATAGCAGCTCTCTGTCCCCTTCAAAGCTCAGCTCAAGCCCCATTTCCTTCTGAAAGTCTTCTCCACTGACCACTGACCCATAGAGATCTTTTCCTCCTCTGAACTTCCAGCCCTGATCTACTGAACCCTCCATTTTATTCTGTAAACTCTGTAGGTCTTCATGTGCAAGTACTAGCTGGATCAGGAGTTCCTTGAGAGAAAGGTTTGGGTTCCATCTCTGTCTCTCTCAGACCACCAGCTTCTTAAGGGCAGAGCTTGGGTCTTTCCTCTTCTATTGCACAGCTCTCAGAATTCTGAGCAGCCTGGTCCCTCCCATCCCCACCAAAGATGAGTGTTTCCCACTGCATTCAAATCCTCCAGGAATTGGCTTTAATAGCTTTCTTTAGTTATTGGCTAGCTGGCTAAATACTGTTGGTCGAGAAGTTCTGCATTGTAGCTCACCTAAATTCTTCCTATGCTAGTGAACTGCAGAGCTTGCCACTATTCTTTATGTACTAATCATCTATGGACCAAAGCAGGGGTCTCTTTTTCAGGACCTTACTCGGTCTTATCTCCTTCTGACCAATGGATCCAAGTTATCTTTCTCACTTTCTTAAGATCATAGGTTTGGAGTTGAAACTATCAAGTCCTTTCATCCTGTTTTCCTCCTCCCAATAAAGTGTTTCTATTCTAGCCCCATTCCTCATATTCTACTGCTCTCAGGGCAGTAGCATCCTGAGCCAGAACTCAGAACTCTAGACTGAGCTAGAAGTATATAATAGGATTAGAAAGAGCATTGGATTTAGGATCAGAAACCAATTGGCCATGTGACTTCAGGCAAGTCCAAAGTCTCTCTTCATCTGTAAAAGAAAAACATTGAACTAGATAGATGATCTCTAAGGTCCTTTCCAGCTCTAATATTTTATGATTCTGGGTCTGACCATGCAGATTGCGGGTTAAATTGGGATAAATCATTCAGAGCTCTCTTCTCATCCCTGCACTCACTTGTTCTTGCCTTGATGAAATATCTCAACCTGGCTGAGAATCCTTGGCTTCTGGCTTGGACCAGCTTGACCTCTGGAAGAAGCTGAAAGCCATGTGTAATAAGTAAAGTCATGCCCCAGGGAATCCACCCTGGCCAAACATTGCCTGTGGTGAGAGCCAGAGATGAGGGCCTCCTCCTGGTTTGAAATTGTGTGTCCTGTAACTTCATGCCTATGGCATGCCTCTCTTATGTAATGAGTTCCCCTCCCATAGGTAGCTCCCAAAACTTTCGTCAACCACACATGGTACACATTCCATTTATGGCCCATTTCTTCAGACTTTAGTACCCCAGTGGTTCTTGCTTTAAAAAAACCCCAAACTTTAGATGATTGAACATGATTTGAATGGGAGTAAAGGTGCTGGTGTTTTAAGGGTAATCCATAAAAATTTAGGGAAAGAATCCTCTTGGGGAAAGGGATAACCCAAGTCACAATCTAGGCATTCTACTTTTGAACAGTTCTCCTTGTTAGGTGAGATTACATACTGGGCTCCTTATTATATTGCAAGTGAGCTCCTTATAGAATATAAACTCCTTGAGGGGAAGGATGCCAACCTAGGTCAAACCAGGTTTCACTGGCTACTAAATCCAAGAGTCTGGGGAGAAAGCTCAGTGAAGGGTCCCTAATAGTGGTCCAAAGCAGAGTAATCAGCACAGAACAGGAAAGAGCTTGGATGGATATAATGTGCGTTAAAGTTTACAAGGCACTTTACATAAAACATCATCTCATTTGATTCTCATAGCAACCCATTTTACAGATCAGGAAATTAAAGTTCAAAGAAAATGAGAAGGTGGAAATAAGAACCCAGATTTATTTCAACTCTTCAATCCTCTAATTCTGTGGTGTTCAGTGAAATAATAAGTAATGACCTGATTTCTAGCTCTGGAACCACAATCAAATCACTAACTGCCATTGCTCCTGGAAAGGGTATGGCCAGTCTTCTATCCTAGGCTCCATTTACCATCCATGTGACTTTGTAGAACAAAATATCCATCCCTGGTCACCAATCTCAAATCTGTATTGTTTCTTCTATTTGAATATAAGCTCCTCAAAGACCAGGATTGGCTTGTTTTTTTTATTTGTGTCCCTAGTGCTTAGCTTACAACAAGTGCTTGATAAATTCTTTTTTTTTCATTCATTCATTCATTCATTCATTCATTCATTCATTCATTCATGACAGATTCTGGTTTTTACCTTTGGATATAATGTAATGTGTCAGGACCCAAATATCTCTTTTTGACTGGGAGGGACCATAGTTATGTTCTAGCTTCTCCAGATGTAAAATAAAGTTGATAACATAGGCATGGCATGTTATGGCATTACAGCTTTCTTTCACATAGTTTTACTTTTCAAGGTGACATTAGCATGATAACTATGCATTTTCCTCACTCTACTCCATCAGCTATCGCCATTGATTTGGACCATTATAAACTCCTCTCTTCTCCCACTCCATAGCAACATGGTTTTTTCCTTCTTGTCCAAAGTACTTTTTATAGATATAAAATTATGGTTCTTGGTCTTACCCTAGTCTGTGACATAGAAGTTTGGTTATACTAGGCTACATTAGGTTCAGTGAAGCCCTTTCTCCCTGAATGTGACCTCCCCCCCACCTGTGAGGACCGCCATATCTGTGACACAACTTGTCTGTTATTCTCCAGTTTTGAACTAAGAAAAGAGTTTAAATTCCATCAGCAGATAGAGGTTAATAGCATCTGATTAGGTCTCAGCAGACGCAGAGAAAGTTCTCTTTCCAGCTAACTAGATGCAAGATCTTCGGCCAAATTTTTCACCTCTCTGAGCCCTTTCTTCTAGGAAATGAAGGTTAGATTAGATGATTCCCAAGGCCTTTTCCAATGCTAACAGGTCATGCCTACGTTATCAACTTAATCAACTGGGGAAGCTGGAACATGACCATGGTCTTTCCAACGGGAAAGGGATGCAGGGGTCCTGACTCACTCCATGGTATCTGGAGGTAGAGACCAGAATCAGCTTCGCTTGGTTGGAAGACACTTACCAGTCTTGGCATGGGGGCTGGAGCTGAGTGTCTTACATAGTAATGTAGACAAACGTATTCACAGTAAATTCATTGCATGTGATTGACTGTTATATTCTGCATTCTTTGTCTCTTCTCTTTAGCACGTCTGTGGGGAGTTTCCCATCAGCAGAAAGTAGTGGCCTAGTCCCTAGGACACCCACCCAACCTCTGGCAGATGCTAGCTTCCTCTCTGGAAGCCTAGGGCAACCTTCTTCTGCCCAGAGCAGTTACCAGAACACCTCCCCTGCCCTACCAGCTGCCACCAGTGGCCACCGGAGTCCTGACTACTTTTCTCCAGACAGCCGGCTCAGTCTCAGTTCACCGTGGCTGGTGTCCACACCCTGCCTGGGAGCCCTCAGACTCTCCACCGGACGGTGGGGACCAACACTCCTCCTAGCCCAGGCTTTGGTCGGCGAGCAGTGAACCCTGGCATGGCGACCTCTTTGCTTGGTAGCCCTGGTCTGAGCCGCCGCCAGGTCTCAGGTCCCCTTGGTAACACAGTGGCTGGCCTCCACGGCAATGCCATTGCCAGCCCCCAGAGCAGTGTGGCTGCCTCCCCGGGAAGCCCTAGCCTGGGCCGGCACCCCACTGGTGCTGTCCACAGCAATTCAGTCACCACTCCAGGAAGTCCCAGCCTCAGCCGCCATGTGGCAGGCTTGGGAGGAGCTGGGCCGGTGGTCCCGGGCAGCCCTAGCATGGACAGGCATGCAGCCTATGGTGGCTATTCCACCCCTGAGGACAGAAGGCCTACTCTGTCCCGGCAAAGCAGTGCCTCAGGCTACCAGGCTCCCTCCACGCCTTCTTTCCCAGTGTCCCCAGCCTACTATCCTGGTATGAGCAGCCCAACATCCTCCTCGCCTGATTCTGCGGCTTTCCGGCAAGGAAGTCCTACACCTGCCTTGCCTGAGAAGCGGAGGATGTCCGCAGGAGATCGGGCAGGCAGCCTCCCCAACTATGCCACCGTCAATGGAAAAGTGTCCTCGTCCCCTGTGTCCAGTGGCATGTCCAGTCCCAGTGGCGGCAGCATGGTCTCCTTCTCCCACACCCTTCCTGACTTTTCCAAGTTCTCCATGCCAGGTGGGTACCCTTAACCCTAAGCTCAGAAACCCTAAGTGTATCTGCTTTGACCTTTGCCTCTGAATTTCTGTTTCCAAACTGACTGAGTTTGAAAGTGACCAAAGCTAGGCATCTAGAGACCGATATTCAAATCTTGGCCTTGGCTCTGATTTCCTACGTGAGCTTGAGAAAGTTAGTTAACTTCTGTAGGCCTTGATATCACAATCCGTACAATGAAGAGAATATTACCTTCCTTCCTCACCTCAGAATTGTTGAGCAATTGGACATGGGAAGGATTTTGGAACTAAAAGTACTATTTTAAGTATGAGGTATTATTATGACAGCCATATTATTTTGATTGTTGAGATTTAAGGCTATCTTGCAAGTAATAGCCTCCATCCTACTAAGAGGACATCTTCTAAACTCAGTAATCCATGCTTGCATAGATCTGGAACCCAACAGCCAATCTTAGAGCCCATTATAAGGACACCTGGATCTAGGCCTTCTAGTCCCTGCCTTTCCCTCCTGTCTGGGCTTCATCACCAGCAGTAACTCTAGGTCTATGCTGTTCTCTCTTTTCCCAGGAGTGACATTTTGCTCCCAGTCCCTCTCTCTCCTTGGGGGTATGTGAAGCTTCTGGGGGTCAGGACACTTCCTGTTTCCCACTATCTTACCCTGCTTAAAATAGCTATTGGAGTCAACACAGGAAGGCAGATGCATTTGTGGTCTGTCCTGGCAGCTCATTAGATAGAAACCGCAGCAGTGGGTGTATAGGGGCTTCAAAGCTGCAAGAAGGATGGCTTAGAACATTTCCAGACGCTCCCGGTCTTCTGATACTCCGAGTTCCAGAGGTCTTTTTAAGTGACTAGCTGTCAGGGAAGGAAAATTGACACCTCCCCATTCCCTTTGAAAAGTGGGTCAAAAGTACAGATTTGAGGAGCCCATTTCTGCCCTTTCAGAACAAGTGACTTGAAATTATAGCAGGAACAGATTGGTTGGCCTTCTGGGAAGAAGGCTCAAGATGGTTCCTTCTTGAACCCTCACAGCCTAACAGGATTCCAAGCATGGGCGTCTGTGACCTCTCTCTGAAGAATGGTAGAAGCAGAAAGATATCTTTCTTAGTCTTAGATATCTATGGGTTCCCAAGAACCCTGAGATCAGGGTGTGCAAAGGGGAAAATGATATAATAATAATAATAATAATAATAATAATAATAATAATAATAATAATAATAATAATAACAACAACAACAACAGTTAGCATTTCTATAATGCCTTAAGGTTTGCAAACAACCCTGGGAGGTAGGTGCTAGTATTATCCCCATTTTCAAGATCACACAAACTAGCAAGTATTGAAGAACAGATTCAGATTCAGGTCTTTCTAACTCCAGGTCCATCATTCTATTCACTGTATCGCATAGCTGCCCCTTATATGAATACAAACACATACATACATACACACACAATATACACATACATTTATACGTACAGATATCTTTCCGTGTGTGTGTATGGGGAATGAATAGCGAACAAGTAAGTATATACATATATACAGATACATCTATATCTGTATCTGTATATCTATACCTACACCTATATCCATATCTATCTGTTTCTACCCTGTAATATTTATAAAGATGATTGTTATAGAATGGTTACTGGGATCTCTCTTAAAAGAAGTAGGTACCTGGGGCAGCTGGGTGGTGCAGTGGGTAGGGCAGTGGCCCTAGCATTGGGAGGACCTAAGTTCAAATCCAGCCTCAGACACTTGACACTAGCTGTGTGACCCTGGACAAGTCACTTAACCCCCAACTACCTCAAAAAAAAAATAGAAGTAAGTACCTTTCACAGGCATATGTATATACCTATGTACATGTATATATGGGAGAAGTAGGGAGAAAGTAGGCATATATACATATGTATATACATACATACATGTATAATATTTCAACTAATATATTCCAATACATATCTATGCCTACTTATGCACACACATATACATAAATACATACATATATGTATATATAATTAATATAGATCTCGTGGAGGAAGTTGGGTTTGAAGTTTGATCTCAATAATAGATGTATTATATATACATACATATATATGTATGCCTTATATACCCTCAGCAGAAGCTGAGAATTGGAAGAGACCTTGGAGACCACCCTGCCTGCACCCAGACTGGAAGGGACAGGATGGTATAGTTGAACACATGGTGGATTGGGAACTGGGAGGCTTGAATTCTGGTTCTCCCTCTCTCTTACTAATCATGTAACCACATGCGAATCACTTCCTATCTCTGGGCCTCAGTTTCTTTTGTCTTAAAAATAAAGGAGTTGGCCTAGGTGACTGTTAATGTTGCTTTCGGCTTTGACTTTCCAAGAAAAATTATATGATGGACACATGGGGCACCTCTGGAAAGCTGCCTGGGAGTGTGAAACGTGGTACAAAATGCCACATTCCCAGTTGATCTCCAGATGCCAACTTAGTCACTCCTCTCTTTGCCCAAGTCCAATTGTGATCTACATTCTCAAGGTGATGTGCCATAATGATTTCTATTCATCTGGCCTCTGGTGGGGTGTCTTCAGGTTGGGGAGGGAGGAGGGAGCAGGTAGAAAAAGGATTTTTGGAAAGGTTTGATTGTTTTTTAAATTTTTTTTTCATTTTGGTGAGGCAGTCAGGGTCAAGTGATTTGCCCAAGGTCACGCAGCTAGTAAGTGTCAAGTGTCTGAGGTCAGATTCGAACCCAGGTCCTCCTGACTCCAAGGCCAGAGCTGTATCCACTGCGCCACCTAGCCACCCCATTTTGATTGTTTTTGCTTTCATTTTTAAGGCTATGTGAATTGGTCATGATGAAAAAGATTGGAAAAATAATGACATTTGATGAATGAGGGCAAAAAGCTGGGGTGATTTATTTGGAAGAAGAAAAACATGAAGAAAGGGGTCAGGAATGACCTTTAAACTTAAAAGAGACTGTTGAACAGAAATCAGAGGGATAAAGCTGCTATGAAGAGAATTTAGTTTTCAAGGAAGAATTTTGAGAGAAGGGTGTGTGCCCTCTGAGGAGGGCTTTTCAAACAGGAAAGAATTTTGTATGTCTGAGGTGGTTTAGGCAGAACTCCTGTTTGGAGGCAGGGGGGTGGATTAGATGGCCTTTTAGAGGTCCCGTCCAGTGCCATGATGATGGTATTTGATGCTCAATGTTCCTTTCCTCTCTTTCCTTCCTATAGACAACAGTCCTGAGACGCGGGCTAATGTTAAGTTTGTCCAGGACACATCCAAGTATTGGTACAAACCCGAGATCTCCAGGGAGCAGGGTGAGTCCTGGTGAAATGGACCATGGAGGATGACACTCCATGTACATTTCCACCTGTTACATCTATAAAGATGATTGTTTCAGAACCTTCTTTTGCACCTCTTCCTAAAGAAGCAAGACAAACACATGATCATGACTTCTTATAATCATCGGGGGCTCTGGGACAAAGTTGGGTTTGGAGTTTGACCTCAATACGGACTTGTTGACAGTGGTACTAAGATACTAGAACAGGTGACTAGGGAATCTCCTTCTATGACTCAGCCAATGAGCATTTATTAAGTGCTCACTGTGTGCCAGGCACTGTGTTAAGCCCTCAAAATAGAAACAAAAGGCAGAAACAGACCCTGCCTTCAAGAAGCTTCCATTCTAATAGAGGAGACATGTCAATGAGTAGATGCACAAAAGGCACACATGGAGTAGATGGAAGGGAAGAGAGTGCTAATTGAGCTGTTTTAATTAAAGGAATTTAAATTAAATTAATTAATGAAAGGAAATTAAGGAAGCCAGGGATCCCTATTGCCTCCTGAACCAAAAGCAAAATCCTCTGTTTGGCCTATAAAGTCCTCCATAATTTAGCCTTTTCCTGTGTTTCCAGTCTTCTTACACATTCCACTCCCAAGACTCTTCCATCCAGTGATACTGGTCTTCTTGCTGTTTGTACCTCGAACATGATGCTCCATCTCCTGCGTCCAAGCATTTTCATTGGCTGTTATCATGCTTGGAACTCTCTCCCTCCTCAAGTCTGCCTCCTGGTTTCCCTCAAGTCTCACTTAGGATCCTGTCTTCTGGAAAAAGCCTCTCCCAGTTGTCCTAATGCCTTCTCGTTATTGATTATCTCCAGTTTATCCCATCTGTGTCTTATTTGTACATGGTTGTTTGTGTCTTGTCTCCCCCATTAGACTGTCCTTGAGGACAGGGATTGTCTTTTGCCTTTCTTTATATCTTTATACTTAGCATAGTGCCTGGCACATAGTAGGAGCTTAGTAAATGCTAGTTGACTGGCTGACCAGTGGAATCTTAGAGATAGAGATGAGTAGGGAGAGTATTCTAGGCACAGGCAAGAGCCAGTAAAAAGACAGGAACACGGGAGATGGAGAATTGTGTGTGGGTGATAGTAAGTAAACCTGCATAGGTGAACTGTTCAGTGATTCAGTGCAGAGGGAAGTAATTAGTTAAAAGACAAAAGATAGGAAGGGGCCAAATTGTGAAAAACTTTAAATGCCAAACAGGAGAGACCTGGTCTGAATAGGGAGAGGCTCTACACTGCTCAGGGGCAGGGGAATGTCTTGAATGAAACTTCCTTTGAAATATCAGTGACAGACTGGGAGAACCCAGGAGTCCTGACCTCCAGCTTCTTTACCCTCTTGCAGCAAAAAAGGAGCATTGTCCTACAGGGAAGAGAAGGGGAAGGGAAAGAGAGGAAAAGGAAGAGAAGGGAAGGGAAACATAATTAAAGATTCTTGGAAGGCCTTGTTTGAATGGGCTGAAGGGATCAAATCACTAAATTATTATTTTCTTTTTCCATTTCCTCTTCTCCTCCACCCATTATAGCCATTACATTACTTAAGGACCGGGAGCCAGGAGCCTTCATCATTCGGGATAGCCATTCCTTTCGGGGAGCTTATGGCTTGGCCATGAAAGTGGCATCTCCTCCTCCCACAATCCTTCAGCAGAGTAAGAAAGGTAATGAATGTTTTCTCTGAGAATTGTACCACAGGGATGAGGAGGGAGATGATAGTGAGGGGTATGGCAAGAGGGGTGAGATTTGTCTGATTCTCTCTGTGCCTGACCTGGGGGTGAAGGGAGACTTACTGGGTGACTGGTGGGAAGGGGCCAAATGGAGCATCTTCTAAATTTGGACAGTCCTACTCCCTCTCCACTCATGTTATCCCCACATAGGACCCATGCCTCTTCCTCTATCCATCTCAGAAGGAGGTAAAGATTATAAGGAGGAGTAGAAGGACAGGGCCTCAGGTTCAGGGTAGAGAATAGGAGGGGAACATGGGAAGAGAGCAGTAACCCTGTCCTGTCCTTCCAGGGGACATGACCAATGAGCTAGTGAGGCATTTCCTGATTGAGACTAGCCCCAGAGGGGTGAAGCTGAAAGGATGTCCGAATGAGCCAAACTTTGGTGAGTTTGCCCATCTAATTTCTCCATGTTTCAGTATACTCTGTCAGGGAGTTCTTCTAAAAATCTGCCCTTTAATCTCTCCTGTTGCTCTGCCCGTTCCCATATAATTGTATGTAGCCTCTGTGTTACGACTCCTCTCTGTAGCTATCCTGTTCAGATGGAGGATTCAATAAGAAATGGGTTTATATTTGGGTTAGAGACATTAGGACAACTTCCATGGGGGATAGTTTTTAGTTTGTGTCCAAGGAAGACTTGAATATCTTTATTTGGGGAGCTGTTAAAAAGAAGATGAATATTTACCATCCTGAGGTGGTTAAAATATGTCTGTCCAGAGGCAAGGAGAATGGATGTTTAAATGACCTGAGCCCAGGCCAGGCGATTTGATCATATTCATGGCTATGGACTTTTGGGGAGGTTTCACATACACACAGCTCAGATGAAAGATGACATAAGTCATTCTACCATTCTTTATCTGAGTGTGACTCCCCTCTCCCAGCTGGCCAGCTCCCTCTAATGTTGCTTCCTGGATGTGTCTCTGTCCCTACAGGATGTCTCTCTGCTCTGGTCTACCAGCACTCTATCATCCCATTGGCTCTCCCCTGCAAGCTGGTCATTCCAAACCGAGGTAGGAGCCAGAGACTCGCTCAGCGAGCACACATTGATCCAGTTTTCCCGCAACATTCAGTCATCATTGCCAGTAGCTGCTTGGGAACACAGGGCCAAGATAGGCTGCCCTGCCAGTACAGGGAAACCTAAGCCTCTTCACCCATCCTCTGCCCCCAAAATTTCAGAAAGGCAGAATTGTTTAAAAAGCTCAAATCCATGAGCTCATGCGGTCATTGTGCCAGACAGAGCTGAACAGCACTGTGGAGCCAAGAGTTCAACGTCAGTCCACAAAATGGGCATCGACCCCAGCCGCATTTCATAAACTGTTACCTCCCATAGCTCTCCCGCCCCTCTTCATTCCCTCTTCCTGTTTCCTGTTGCTCATGGCTTAGAGGTTACCAAAATCTACCTGCAGCAGTTCCACTCCATTTTCCCATGGCCTTGTAACCTGAAATCCAAACTTGGACAATGGCAAGGAGGCTTAGTGTACTGAGTGTCAGATTTTGATGAGTCCTGCTGCCCATTTCTTTTGAACACTGGGTCTGGGGAAAGAGATCCTAAGTAGGTTGAGTGGAAACAGAATCTATTTCCCCTGCTATCAGGTCTCTTTCTGCCAGTTGATGTGATGACTCATTCTAGTTTATTGGGGGCTGAGTAGGGTGAGGAAATTATGGATAACCATTAGAATTATTGATAGTCACACATCTCTAGCATTGTGCTCCATGCTATGAGAAATAGTAGCCTCTTGTACGGTGCTTTGACAGCAGGGACTATTTTACACGGTGCCTGGCACACAGCAAGTGCTTAATAAATGCACATTGACTCACTGACTCTCAATAGGGAACTAATGTCCAAGAAACAATGAGGTACCAATACAAGGCAGTGTGCCATAAATGCTAAAATGTGTGATGTAGACATAAAGCACCATAGGAGGTCAGAGGAGGGAGAAGAGTCTGGAAGGACTTTTATGAAGGAGGTGGTCCTGAGCCAAGCCTGGGAAGTAGATTCAGAACATAGACCAGTTAGGCACCCACCTAGGGTATGACATCAGAGATTTAGGAGTGGAGGAAAGGGTGCAAGGAAGAACGTTTTAAATATAGCTTTTTCCAAGTACATTTATTTTTAAATTCAGAGCATTTCATTCTCCATAGCCCAGAGATATTTATGTTGGGACAAATCAGGTTGCAGTTGTTACTGTGAATGGTAACCCTTGAAAGGCACAGTTTTCAAATCTTATGTTGGCATGTGAATCCAGCTGTACCTTAAGGGATTCCAACAGACCAAGAGGTGAGGGGTTGGCAAAGGAAATTCTCTACCATCGCTGGTAGAGAATTCATAATGGGGAGTAGTGGGAAGGAAAGTTAGGCAACCAGGTGGTGAAAGGCCTTGGAAACCAGATGTCAGTACTTGGGATTGATCCTACAGGGAATTATGGGAGGTCTGTAAGCAGGAGACTGGTGCCATGTTGGAATACTTAATTTGGCTAGTTTGGAAATGAGAGAAAGCCTTGGGCAATTGAAGCCATTCAAGATGTGAGAAAGGCTAGGACTAGGGTGGTAGGTTTAGTGTTGTACCCTAGGTGGGGATGACCTGATCTGAGTCCTGGTTGCTCAAGTTTCACCTGCTTCATGAAGATTTTTCCAGACTCATCTCACCTCTGTGACCTACAATACTTTTTGCTGTGGCATCTCCAGCCATTACTGTCTAAGTAGAGGAAGGAGTTCAGACAGGATGACTTCTCCAGGTTCTTTTTAGCCATAGGGGTCTAGTTCCCAGCTCCTAACTTACATATCAATATGTATATGGATGTGGGGGAGGGGCAGAGAAGAGAGGAGACACCATGATTTCTCTGCATTCCTATATCATATTAATAGGAACATCAGAGGAAGCCCAGGTCTCTGACCCTGGTGCTCAATCTCTCCTTGGGATTCTAGGAGCACTGTACTCAACACTGACCATTTTTATTTCATAAATCGAATGCTTACATTCTAATTAATTAATGTTGATTCGCATAGCTTGTTGAAAAGTTCAGATATAACTTGAATAGCACACAGAACTTAAATACTCATTAAATAATACACTGTGGGATTGAAAACATTATTTCAACAGTTGTTGAGTTGTCCTCTATAAACAGTAATTCAATCACATTGCTGTTAAAATAATCGGGTAACATTAATGATGAAATAAATTTAGGCACTAAACAAATTGAACTCAGTTACTTTTAATTCAGCGAGGTGCATTGAGCGCAAGCAGGTCAAAGGCTGGCTAATAAAATGACATGCCTTGGAAAGCATTCGTTGCAGGTGGGGCTGTGGTCCTGCATCTGTTTCTCTGCATAACTTTCTGTGTTTTTGCCATAGATCCAACAGATGAGACAAAAGATAGCTCATCCGCCAATTCCACCACAGATCTACTGAAACAGGGGGCAGGTGAGTGGTCAGTGACAGTGGGGGCTTCTCACCTTTCTATGCTTCTACTCTCCTCGTTTTGCCCTGCCTGTCACCCCATTTCTGCACTCTATTTCTAATCCCAAACCTCCTGAATCAACAGCTTCCGCCAAATCAGAAAACGACATTTTCATTGGCAAGGACTGGAATGAAATCTTTCCAGGGGTGGGGACTTATTTCTTAAAAAAAATATTTTATTGATTTTTTAAAAACATCCCTGTTACTTGCAAATGACTCTCCTTTGCCATTAGAACCTTCCCTTGTAACAAAGGAATACAATGAAGCAAACCTAACCAACTCACTGGCCATATCTGAAAGTAAATGCCTCATCCTGCTCTTGTAGACAACCACCTCTCTTCCAAGGGTTAGGCAACATACTTAGGTCCTCTGGAGCTGTAATTGGTCATTGCATTGACCAGAAACCTGATGTTTCAATGTTATTTTCCCTTAAATTATTGTGGTAATTGTGTAAATTGTTCTCATGGTTCTGCTTAACTCTCCTCCGCATCAGTTCATTCAGATCTTCATATGTGTTATTTCTAATGGTCCAGTCATGCTCCATTACATTTATATAATATAATTTGTTCAGTCATTCCTGATGGTGTTTCTTTCAGCCTGCAATGTGCTTTTCGTCAATTCTGTTGACATGGAGTCACTCACGGGGCCCCAGGCCATTTCTAAAGCCACAGCTGAGACGCTGGCTGCAGACCCCACACCGGCTGCCACTATTGTCCACTTCAAGGTCTCCGCCCAGGGGATTACGCTGACAGACAACCAGAGGAAGTAAGGAATTCCCTCTCCCCAGCCCACTCTTTATGCAGTTTCCCCCACCTCTGACATCTCCAGTTATTGAAGGGTTTTTGGCTAAAAGTGGGAAGATGAAATGAATGATACCAGAAAGATGTCCCAGGCCAACCTACAAACCTTCAACTTTACCTCTCTCTGACATTTGTTCCTCTCCCCATCGGTGTTGAACATCTTCCCCACTCCACAGCCCCTGCCCCTTTCTTCTCTCTGTCCCACAGCTCCTGACCCCACGCTTCTGAGAAGGATTCTGTGGTATGCCTTTCTCTGTACCAGTTATTTACCCATGTCCCACTTCACCATGACATGAGGATTTTGAAATGTTATGAAAGGCAGAGGATAGCTCTAGAAGAACACAGAGAAAAAGAGACTGGAAAATAGGGCGGAGGGCCTAACAATCTACGTCCTCAACATTTATTCTATCTTTGTGCCTTAGGCTGTTCTTCAGGCGACATTATCCCCTCAACACTGTTACCTTCTGTGACTTGGACCCACAAGAACGGAAGTAAGTCTCCCATAGACCTCACCTTACCACCTCATCCCCCACATTCTCACTCAGTTATTAAGCAGAGAAGTGTGTGTATGTGTGGTTGTATGTTGTTATTCTTACCTCAGATGAAGATGCCTGATATTAATAGAGGTGATATAATTGCTATAGTAGTATAGTGGATAGAGTGTTGGACCTGAAATCAGGAAGACCTTAGTTCAGATCCCACCTCAGACATTTACTAGCTGTGGGACCCTGGGCCTGCCTTAGTTTCCTCATCTGTGAAATGGAGATGCTAATAACTCTTACTTCCAGTGGGTTATTGAGAGGATCAAATGAAATGATATTTGTGAACGTCCATTCTAGCTCTTAAGTTTGTGATCCTATGATTTTCCTGGGTGCCATATTTCATTCAACTTGCTTCTTTCTAACATGATGAGGAAAGGAATTGGCAAGTCAGCTGTATGCCAGCCTAGGCCAGCCTACATAAGACTGCAGTCAACATACACATGATAACTTTAGGGACCCGCTCTGCCTCTGGGGAAAGATTTCTAACCACATACTGGTGGAATGCCTATGCTTGGCTCCAGTAGAGGCAGAAAACTTGCTTACTCTTGCTTTTTCTTGCCTTAGGTGGATGAAAGCAGAGGGGGGTGTGCCTGCTAAGTAAGTATGGCTTCTTCCCCTCCCCTTTCTTGGGATGTTTCATCTTTGTGCCTCCCAAGATGACACAGGAGGAGGCTTCTGAAACATTGAGCATGCACAGGAGGTTGGGGGGAATGGGAATTAAGAGTTAAGAGTTGGGTAGAGGTCACATAGCCTAAAAGGTAAATTTAGTCAAATTAATCAACAATTCTTCCTGCCTTCCCTCTCCCCTCCTTCCCCCACCCCAGCAGCAATCCCTCTTATACTTAAGAGCAGCAGAGACTGTGTGAAGGACAAACACTAGATTTAGGCAGGTTTTGGGGAGCTGGTGTAGCATAATAAATAGATTCCTGGGCCTGAAGCCGGGAAGATCTGGGTTCAGATTCTAATTCTGACACATTAGATAGGCAAGTGACCTAATCTTTTAGAATCTCAATTTCCCCGTCTTTGCAAACTGGAAAGCATCATGTAAATGTCAGACATTGCTGTTCTTGGGAGCGTGTTTGTCCATTTCCATTTCATCCCAACTTGTCCCCAACTGGATTTTTTTTGATCATGGCCTGGCCATTTTTGTGGGCTCCTGTTAATGTTCATGGCTAGGCCAAGACCACCTAACCCACCAGAACAAGCAGTCAAATTAGAACAGTGCTTGTCAAGAATAGAGACAGGAGAGAACTCACTGGTAGGCATCTTGGTCTCTCTTTTTTTTCCTCCTCTGGGTCACCAAAGTTTTGCAAAATTTTCAGCCTCTCAGATTTTCTGCACTTTTGAAGGTTTTAAGACTCTCAGTAGGCCCTGTCTTATCAATGCCTCCTGCCAAGCCCAGTTAACTTTCACCCTCTAGTATTTGGGAGCCATTCCTTTCTGACTTAGAAATATTTTATTGTATCAGCTGGAACAAAGGTTCTAAATCATTTTTTGTGGCATGGACCCCTTGGGCTACTGGTGAAGCTTGTGGACCCTTCAGAATGTTTTTAAGTGCATAAAATAAAATACATAGAATTATAAAAGAAACCAATTATATTCAAATACAGTTATGAAAATATTCAAAAATAAGTTCATAGATCCCGGGTTAAGAACCTCTGAGCTAGAAGGAGCCAGCTCGAAGAGCTTCCTTTGGAAATAGGGTATTATTAATGGGGTGAGGAGCCAGATAATGAAAGGAGAGCCAGCTCTCCTCTGCTCCTGTGCTGTGGGCCCTCCCTGCTTGTGTCCAGCACACTTGGGATCAGCTTCCCTGGGTGAATGAAGGGAATTGGTTATTGTTGAACTTGGCTGAAGAAGAGGGTGGGCTCTCTGGACTGTGAACATCCAGGGAGGGAGGGTTGTAAGGAGGTGGCGGCTCTGGCTCAGGCACAGGGATAGAAATAAGGCCAGGAAGAACTTGGTTACAGGAGATAGGGGATGGTGCTGAGCACACAGGTCTGGGAGGTCCAGGCATCAGGACCTCCCTGGGCATTTGGCTCATCTCCCACCTTCCCCTTCCTGCCCTGTTCTTGACATGGGGAGTAGACTATCTCTGCCACCCACTCCCAGGACGAATAGGAAGGACAGGACATTTCCTCAGAGACCAAATCCAAAACAAAGAGGGGACATGGTGCAGATCTGTCCCTTGATTGTATAAGAAAACTGACCCCCCAGCTCCCAGAGTCCCCCAGCCAATAGGGCCACTGCTCCCAAGGGTCATTGATCCTTGAACTTGCTGGACTGTTCAGCGGCACTTGGGACGTGGAGGGCAAAGGGATGTGTGAATGTGTTCCTCTGTTCATGAGCATGTGTAGGGTGGAGAGCTTGGCTAATTTTAGCTGTTGTGTTTCAAGTCCCAGAGAGGGGGTTTTTAATTGGAATCTCCAGCTGTTCCGATTTCCCCATCCCTCTCTAATTAGCAACATACCAACTATGGGACCTCTCAGCTCACATTCTGTTCCCCTCTGCTCCCGTATTTATAACCTTGTTTTCCAAGGTTTGAATTCCAAGGTACCGTGGCCCAGTGAGGGCAAAGTGTGGGAGTCTGCCCCTGCCGTTGCCTGATGGGTCCTCAAGCCCTTCACTCAAATCCTGTACACTGTAGGTCATGCAAGGGAACAATGAGAAGTCAGACCAGCCTGTCCCTTTATTTCCCAGCTTCATCTGGTGCTTGAGGAGGCTGAAGCTTTCATACTGGCAAACAATGCCATATTTATTTGCTTAAAGTGCTGAACTTAAAAGGAGTCCAGCAGGGGAAGGGATGGGAGATGCTCTTTCATGTACTTCCCCATGTTATCATTTTTTTCACTGTCTCCCCAGCTTCCCTCCCCTCCCAGGTCTCCCCAAGCCAAGGGGGAAGTGCCCAAAGCATCTACCACTCAATCAGAATTTGTCCCCAGGTCTTAGTTTTCTCTTTCTTTCTTTCTGTCTCTCTTTCTGTCTCTCTTTCTCTCTCTTTTTTTTCTCTCTCTCTTTCTCTCTTTCTTCTCTCTTTCTTTCTCTCTTTCTTTCTCTCTTCCTCTCTCTCTTTCTTTCTCTCTTTCTCCCTTCCTTCCTTCTTTCCTTCCTTCCTTCCTTCCTTCCTTCCTTCCTTCCTTCCTTCCTTCCTTCCTTCCTTTCCAAATGGAGAGAAGATTCTTCACTTATGATGCTTGGGAGATACAGAGTGGGAGGAAAGAGAAAGAAATGTCACTGGAAGAGGTAGAAAAAAAGTAGAAGTTCTCTGTTCTTGGCAGCATGATCATTTCTCACATATTTGTGCTATTTCTCCATCCATCCCCAATCCCCTGTCCCTTTCATCTTTTCTTCCGACTCTTCCTCTCTTTGATTATCTTCTCCCCTTCACATTCTTTCCTCTCCTCTTTTTGTTGCTTTTCTCTGCTTCCCGTCCCATTTCATCCTCCTTTCTCCCTCCCCATCTCTCTACTATCTCTTTTGTGCTCCCTCCCTCTTCTTCCCTACCTTCTGTTTTGTACTCATGTCCTCTCTGCTTCCGTGGCTTCCGTTTGTTCTCTCCTCCACCCCCTTCTTCATCTCTCTCCTCTGTGTAGGCTCTTCGGTTTTGTGGCCAGGAAACAAGGCAGCACCACGGACAACGCCTGTCACCTCTTTGCGGAGCTAGATCCCAACCAACCTGCAGCAGCCATTGTCAACTTTGTTTCCAAGGTCATGCTCAGTGCTGGCCAGAAGAGATGAACCTGCCAGGGGCCAGGGCAGTTGGGCTTGGGGCACATGGGGAAGGGGACCCTTGAATCCAGAAGGAAGTTGTGGGGCCAATTTCTGGAGAAGGAGAGAGGAAAGTGCAGTGCGGGAAGAGGAAAGTGAATTCAGAGAGGAGGAGGAGAGAGGAAAAAATGGAGGGAAGAACAACTTAGAGCCTATTGGGTGAATGGAAACTTAACAACAACAACAACAACAACAACAACAACCCAATACCCAAAATACTCAACTAACCAAGACCACGTGACCTTCTTCCTACCCTGTGGGATTTTTCCATGGAGGGCGGGTTGCAAAGTGGCAAATCCCCTCTGGGATTTTCTTTTAGTACCATGGCTAACGTAGATCCCCATCTCCCTAACTAAACAACCTTGCAAGGAAAAAACTCAAAAGCTGAGAGTCCTCCTTTGGGTACCTGTGAGGTGTATTTATCAAATGAAATAGGAGAGAAATCTAAGTCAAATTTTTTTTTTTCCTTTAATAAGTGCCACATACCCCAAGGTATATGCTAAGGTCTCTTTGTTCTGCAATGGCTATGCATATGTATAAGTACCTGCGTGTATTAGACATATAACTCCAAATTCAACTATATAGATAATATGCGCATGAAGTTGTCCTTCCTCCCCAAAGATAATCTCTACCATCTCCTGGGGTCACTGTAGGACCGGGAATATAACATGGAGGGAGCCTATCTCCTTACCCAGAATCACCTTGGATTGTGGATGTCAGCTTGGGACCTCCTTTCATCCCATCTAGTCAGCTCTGGCAACCTTTGGATGGTTCCTCATTCTCCTCCTCAGACACAAGAGCAGGAAGCAGATGTCTGCCACTTATGAGCACTGCATTAAGCATCTCCCCAAACAAGTCAACACCCCTGCCTTATCATGGCATTGAGGCTGGGGAACTTTGGTTCTGGGAAGATGTACGAAACCAAAACCTTCAGGAGGGTCTGGAGAGAGTCAGGAGAATTGGACAGGTGGAGAGGCAGGGGATTCTGAACCCTGACCTATGGTCCTCTGGACATGTCCCTCCCATTCTCCCTAGGGCTAACTGCTGCCCCTGACACCTCCTACCCCACTTTTTGTGCCTTGTATCCTGAACCTTTCCCTGGATCTAGCTTGTTAGACTTCCTCACAAGATGATGCTCGTTGGGATCACAGCCATCCTGCCATATTGGGAGCTCAGAATCCTGTTGGACTCATCTTCAGAAAAGTCTGCCCAATTTTGCCTTCAGGAAGTCCAAGGGGGAAGACTCAACCCTTGTCCTCCTCTCCACAAGTGCTTTAGAAGTGTTTGGCTTTCTCTGTCATATGCAGGCTCAGCCTCTCTGGAGAACAGATGTCTGTCACCATCCTGGCCAGGCCAGATCATGTTGGGCTTCAGGCTTGGTCACAACTTCAGGGTAGACAACCCACCTGCATGCTCACTGGGTAGACTACTTTACAAAGTCCCTCTTTCCCCCTACCTTGTGTCTCCAAAAAACCCAAGCCATATGGGGTAGAAGGCATGAGAACAAACCTAGGAGCCCAGGGTCCCTACTGTGAAAGCCCCATACTTCTGAAGAAATCCAAACCAGAAACAAGAACTCATTGTTATTCAATACTTTGGCTCCCCTAGCCCACTTGGGTTCCCTAGTGAGTGGCATTGTACTGATATATATATATATATATATATATATATATATATATATATATATATATATATATATATATATATATATATATATATATATATATATATAATATATACATGAGATATGCTGATGGAATAATGTAAGCTAATCAAGTTTAAGAAAAGGAAAAAAAAGACAGGTAAATTGACAAGAAATATTTATTTTTTTCCATATTGCTTTGTCACCTCCCTATGGGTATATACTGTGTCCCACCCCTCCCTGTATGGACTCTTGTATGTATAACTAAAGCCTGAGAGATAAGAGACCTTATATTTGAATTATCCTTGAACCACCTCCCCCCAGTCTTGTTCTTCACTATATTCATGAGGTGGGGGGTGGAGAAGTTGAGTGGGTTCATCCCCCAGGGTAAGGTTGTGTACATCCATTCCCTTCATCGTTTAGCCCCTTAAGTTTCCCTTTCAGCCCAAGGCTCAGCAGCTCCTAGAACACCCTAGATGTGAGGAGCTGAACCCTATTGCCAAAGGCCCTTTGCGTGTGTGCATATGCAGAGGTGGAGGCTTCAGGATTTGTGTGGAAGGTATGGATGGTGTGTGTGTCATTACTTGTGTATCTTTTCATATTTTCCCCCTCCAAAATACTGTAAGTGCGTGGCAATGCTGTTTCAGGGAGATGGAAATGAGAATGGTTTGTAGAAGGTAGGGAGCAAGGATGAACCACCCTCTTCATCATCTGCTCCCCATTAGTAAGTAAGACCATGAGTCTTTGTGACTGAAGTTGCTCAGAAGTCCCCTTCCTTTTGAGAAATTCAAGTTAGACACCTGAATTTTTTAAACCTTTTCCTTACTTCCCTATCAATCCTAGTTCTGTGCCCAAATAGGGAAAGACATATATTTTGCTCTTTGTCAAGTCAAGAGTTTTCCGCCTTCATTTTACCACTGCTCAACCTGAAGAATTCTGGGCTCCTGGTCTGAATCCTTCATCACCACTTCATATCAGATGAATTGCCGGACCCCCTCATCACCCAGCTCCAGGTCCTCTGGCTAAGATCTGGGATCAGCCTTCACATTCACTTCTCTCACCTTGTGCCTACTGGCTCTCTTATTTCCTAGTCTTGGTTCAGGCCAACCCTGATGACCCTGTTTTTGAAGGGACTGTGTTTAAAGTTTGAAAGCAAACTGTCCCCTTATACCACCCAAGATCATTCTAAGAAGAACCAACTTCCTAGAACCTAATGTTCCTAATCTGGACATGTTTAGAGGTACCTGGAGTTACTAGTTTTGACTTTCCAGGAGATCTAATGGTGGAAGAGAATTGTGTTCAAATCTTGGAGTGGGCACCATCTTTGGGTAAGATGCTGGTAGAGTAAGACCATGTGGAATTAGGTGTCAGAGATTGTATCTCGCACGTAGGCATGAACACACACACACACGCACACACACACACACACAGACACACAGCACTGCAATATATTCTTGCCAAAGATTTCCTTTAAAAAGAAAGCACTTTTAATTTTTTTTTTTGTAAATGACTGTATCTTTCTCATATTTTTTCTTCCCTCTCCCAACCTACTTTGCTGTTGATTTATGTTGTATGTTGTTGATGTCTGTTTGTTGATCCACTTGGGAATGTTGGATCATTCCATTTTGAAGCCAGGCTGAGATGGGGATGGAGAGGACAGGCCTGAAAATAGTTGACAGAGGAGAGAAGGCTATCACTCAAGCCTCAGTCAGAGTGATGATAATAACTGATTTGTCTCTACTCCCTCCACACACACCCTTGGCCTTCTCCCACCCAGCACCATTCTAAGTCAGGATGAAAACTCTCTTAGGTTTCCAAGACAGGATGAGGATGTAATAAGAGCATCCCCAAGGGAGAGAGGAGAGGCAAAAGAATTCTTAAAAACAAGCTAAGCTCAGTATAGGATTTTTGGAGCTTCTTTAGGTGTAGGATGAGGAAGAAAAAGAAAATGTGAACTGATGCTGAGAGCTTAGGTGAATGGGGAGCAAACTTGTAGTTTGCCCAGCTTCAAATGCTACCCCTCTCCTTGACCTCTTTATCAGCATCATATGGACACTGTTCTCCTTTGTTCTACCTAGCTTGTGTTTTCATTTTGCATTATAAGTGGTATGTACGTTGAAAAAGAGCCTTCCGCCCAGTTTTCCTCCCCCTAGGAAGAGAAGCTATATCTTAGCCTTTTGGAGAAGTCTTTTCAGCCCCTTATCCAAACCTGGGCACTTCCCTTGGGTGGACAGAAAAAATTTGTGGGGAATAATGGCCATGTCTACCATCATTGAAGGTGGGATCTCTTGGCAAATGAGTCTCAGACAGGAGAAGAGGGTGAAGGTGTGTGTTTGTGTGTGTGAGAGAATCCCATCAGAGAAGAAGTTGCTAGAAAGGCCTCCCAGGAAAAGAGGAGTGTAGGAAATTCCAGTCACTTTGATCTGACTGGAACTGGACTGACAGGTCAGTTTCCCTTCATGGGCCCAGAGGAAGGATTGATGTGTGAGGAGAATCTGGTCTGGACTGCCCGTTCAGTGACCATCACCTCTTCATCTGTGCTGGTCCAGATCTCTTCTCTGCTTTGCCTTCCTCAGCTTCAGCAACGCTGGGTAGGAGGGAGGGCTCTCGTCTTCCAGCCCTGTCCCTGGAACATTCCAGGCTGAAACCCTTTATCTGCTGAGACTTGGAGTTTCCTTCCATAACATAGGAAAGGTGGCTGTGAGTGTATGTGTGTATGTGGGTGTGTGATACCTATCATTTTAGGGAACTGGTATGCATATGTTTATGGGAGGATGTGTGTATGGGGATGGGTAATGCTTATAGGAGGCAGTGGAAAGTCTGGTACGAAATCACCTTCAGGCAAAAGGAATTGGCAGGTGAGGCCCAGAGGGTCACCTAGTTGGCTTTAGGCTCAGTCTTGGTTTTGTTTGTCTGATCAATGGAGAAAATCATTAGGCAGAGTGAGGGTCCCAGGGTTGTTCTGCCCCTCCCTAAGACCCATTTTGTAGGGTCTGGGAATTGTGGGAAGGCCTTCTTTTCTTCCCATTCCTGTGCTATTCCTAGCAGCCTGAATCTTGTTGGGAGGATGTTCCAAATTAATTTTCTAATCAGTGTTAAGTAGTTTGGAACCCTAGTATGTGTGTGTGTGTGTGTGTGTGTGTGTGTGTGTGTGTGTGTGTGTGTGTATGTACATGTGTGTGTGTTAGTGTATAAATGCACAGATGTTTGTTGTGTTTTTGTTTCCCCCTCCTCCTGTCTCAAATGTTATTGAAAGCAAATGTAAGAAATCCCTCCCCTCACTAATCCTCCCCCAGAAAAATATAATAACCCTATTCTTTCCTATCCCTCCCCCAGCTATGTATTTATATAGATGGAAATATACTTTATATTTTGTATCATTGTGCCCATAACTTTTGCCACCTTGTATAAAATCTGACTTATGTTACTCATCCCGGGTATGAATGTATTGTACACTGATGCTCTCCTCCCACTCTGTACAGCAGCCTTTGTTTCTTTGCGACCCATTGTATGGCTTTATAAATGATAAAGTTTAAAAAAAATCCAGTTTCTTGTCTGGGCTCATTACTTGGAATGGAGTTCTAGGACCGTGGTGGGGAAGAAGGGTTCTGTGCTCATGCTTGGGGGATGGCCTGGATTTTTCTAGGTTCCTAGAACTCTGCTAGATATGGCTCAAGAGCCTGTGGACTTGTTGCTGCTATGGACAACCCAGGTATGGATGACACACAGGTATGCCTCATCAAGGCATGCACATGAGAGTGGTGCTGTTATGGGACACAGTTCCACTTAATTCAAGTCAACAATTACCTGCCCAGCGTTGTGTTAGGATTGTACAATTCAGAAGTGAGAGAGACCCCAATCACCTTCTAGTCCATCCCTCCCACCTCCAGTTTTGTAGATAAAGAGACATTAAGTAACTTTCCCAGGGTCCCACAGAGAGGAAGCTCAGGAGTTGACATCAGGTCCTCTGGCTTCATGGTCTGGGCTCTTTCTGCTGTGCTCCATTGCCTTTATAAGGAATTCAGGAGACCCAGAAGCAGGATCATAGAATTACAGAGAGCTGGAAATAAGATGAGAGGCCATCAAGTACAACTCTCTTATTTTACAGATAAGGAAACTGAGGCCCAGAGAGTGGAAGTGATAAGTTCAAAGTCCCACAGTAAGTGCCCGGGGCAGGATTTGAACTCAGGTCACCTGACACCAAATCCAGTGCTCTTCCCCCTGGAACATATCACCACCATTCTAATTGGGGAGACCAGACTAATACAACAGTGAACAATGCAAGGCAGTAAATAATTAGCTCACGAATTGTGTGGGTTATGAGAATTGGAGGTTAGTAGGGGAGGAGGGAATAAGTCAGGAGACAGTTTTATGAAGCTGATGTGGCTTGGTATGGTGGCTCTACCTGTGTAGGTATGGGACATGTGAGTCAAGAAGTTATCCTTACAGTCCTCTTGGCCATAGTCAGACGTTGACAGAAGTCTGGGCCCCACAACTGAAGAGTGATGTGGATAGGCTGGGTAGTTTGTAGTCTAGGGTGAAGATGGGGATGAAGAAAGGTCAGAGGAGGGACGTAGAGATTGGGAATGATCACTGAAAGACTAGAAAATGGAATCTGAGCATAAGCTGAAATTCGTTTAGCCTAGAGAAGAAAAGACAAAGAAGGGACTGAAGGAGAAGCATTTTTGAAGGGCTGTTATATAGAGGAAAGGCAGTGTGGTAGAGTGAATAGAGAACTAGCTTCTATGTCAGGAAGGAGTAGGTTTTGACCCACATTGACTATTGGTCCTCCTTAGAGTTCCAAATGTGCTCTGAGACTAAGTTCTGAGAAGGTACATTGGGTAGAGAGGGTTTATTTCCCTTAAATATCCCAATGCTAATGAAATCTGGAATGTAATTTGTACTTTATCCCTGTTATTGAGATGATGGCCAGTTTTCCAGCTCTCCCATGTAAGAGAAGTAACTTGGCCCCAAGGGAGGAGATGGCAGGGTATCTCTGATAGTAGCGTGTGACCTTAGAGAAGTCTTATTACTTCCTTAGGCCTGAGTTTACTCATCTCTAAAATGAAGGGGTTGAAATAGATGGATTTTGAGGTTTCTCTCAGGGCTAAACCTATGATCTTAAGTGGTTTGCAGATCTAAGTCAATATGCAGCCTGCAGGGATCCTTATGTATGGCATAGTGGTCCCCGTTTCTATCTGAGTTTGACAGTGCTGGTGTAGAGAGTTTCAGTTGACCAGGTGCATAAGATGTCAACTGGGTACATAAGATGTCTGCTAAAAAACGAGATGTTATTAGGCTCAGTATCTATAGAAGTGTGTTGACTAGATGACTGTCTTTACCCTGATCAGAATATGCCTAGATCAGTGTTCACTTTGGGGGGGGGCAGCATTTTAAAATGGACTTTGACAAACATCCAGAGGAGGCATGCCAGGGTTAGTGACATGTCTGGAAATCATGTCACATGAGGCACAATTGAATTAATCAGGAGTATTTGGCCTGGAAAAGAGAAGACTTAACAGAGACAGAATTATGGTCTTCCACTATGTCACAGAGAATAAGGCAGGTATTTAATCTGTTGCTTTAGAGGGATAACTAGAGGCAAGGGTTGGCAGTTACGGGGAAGCATATATCGGCTCATTCTGAAAATGTAATGGGTTGCTTTTTTAGGTAGTGAGTTCCCCATTCCTGGAAGTGTTCAAGCAGAGGATAGATGAGTCTAGGTCAAGGGTTAGAGTCATGACATTTTAGCATAGAGCCATTCCTTGGATTTTGCTCTCTATCCTAGGATTTGAGTGGGCAAGAACACTGAGGGCATCTTAGCACCTCAGCCTGAAGATGCTATTGGTGCAGATAAACCCTAGGAGATTCTCTCCTTTTTCCACCATGACTGATAATCCAGAACACTGGCCATAGCTGTTAAGAGTTGGACTTTGGAGATGGATGAAAGTTCTTAAGTCCTCCATGCCCCATACCCCTTTCCTCCTTTCCTTCCTCCCCCAGCTTCTGAAAATTCTAGGGAAGAGTTGGGCAGCCGGAAGTTGTAGCAGAAAACAACCTCTCTAAGTGATATCCATCTAGCTGGCGCCCACTTCCAGACCACAGTGCTTGGGGCAGGCTGCCCAGCTGCCTTGGGCTTTTAGGAGATTTAAAAAACTGTTTGGGGATATCGGGACAGGATGTCTGATGTCTGAGCCCTGTGCCCCTGCCCTTGCTCCCTTCCCTGACTCCCTAAAGTGATTAGATTCTCTGGGGAATCTGGGGAAGGCTGGCGGGGAGTTAGACCCCTACCTGACCTCCTGTCAGATGTTGAATGAACCACCTTATCGCTTGAGCAATCTGAGAAACACGTTGGATCTTACATATGGGGTTTGGGGCTTGTTCGGGATATTGGGACCATAGGGACAGGGGGAAGGGGTGGATGCTTTCCAAAAAGTGCAGTAGGATGGCTGGAAGGTGAGGGGGAGAGAATCAGATTCATAAGAATGTTAAAGCTGGATGATGCTTTAGAGACAATGAAGATATAAGCCTCTCATTGGAGGAGTCTCTCCCTCCAGTAATGATTTCTCTTCCAGCCCAGCCCAATAGACAGGCATGTATGCTGAAACATGCCTTAGTCTACCTCCTTCCTTTCTTCCCTTTCCCAAGTCTGAACTCAGAGAGGTTCCTAAGGATGTCACAGAAGGTCCCCAGGGATATCAGGACTTTAGACTTCCTATGTTCAGTGTTTAGGAGGAACCCATTGTTGTTTGTCCTTCACTCTCAAAGAGGACTATGTCATCAGGAAAGTGATGCCATGACTTGCAAGTGAGTTAGATTTAAGTGAGGCAGGGCTGTGCAAAGTCACCAGCCTCACTTTCTCCTCCAGAGCCAGCAGGGGCCAGTGGCAAGATACAAATCAGGACAACTGGAGATGGCTGTGGATGCAGTGGGAGACCTTGGCTTTTTTAAGCTAAGGTCTTTCCCAGGTCTCAGTTTGACTGAGGTAACACCAATTCAGTGATTAAGCTAGGTAAGAAATGAGGCAAAAAATGGTCTCTTATCTAGTTAAAAAAATCAATCTGGGAGGGGAAGACCCTGAACCCATAGCAATTAAAGGAAGAAGAAAGAGGCAAATAAGCTCCTGTTAATTGCCCTTTTCCTAGAGCCTCATCCTCCCTAGGGATAAAGGATAGAATAGAATAGATGAGTTCTGAAATTCAAAAAAACAAAAACAAGAAACCAGTCCCAGAGAAGGCAAATTATTTACCCAAGATCACACTGTAAAGTAGTGAGTGGTAGAACTGGGGTTAAAATCCAGGGCATAGAATCATTGATCTAGAGGTACAAGTTATCTCGGAGATGGTTGGCCAACCTTCTGATTTATTGATGAGAAAACTGAGGTAAATGACTTGCCCTAGAACACACAGGTATTAAGCATCAAAGGTGAGATTTGAACCCATGTCCTCTGACTCCAGGACCTGGCTCTTTTGACTTCTAATCCAATATTCCTTTGGCCACATCACTACATGTGACTGCTTTTTGAGAATGGTCATGAGGACACAGGAAGGCTATTTATTCACCAACACTTTAGCCTGATTCTGCTAGGGGTGGGAAAAGAGATTGTGTTGAGTTAGGGAAAGGTGGGGGAGAGAAGGAAGCAAATACGACTCCCTTGAGTTTTTCTTTGTAAGGATTTTCAAAGGTCATAATAGTAATAGCTAATATTTGTGTAGGTTTTAAGTTTGCAAAGCACTTTTCAGACCTTAATTCATTTGACTCTCACAATACTGTGATGTAGGGGTGATTATTATTGTTATTATTATTACCATTTTACAGAGGAGAAAACTGAGATTCAGAAAGATTAAGTACTTTGCCCAGAGTCACACAGCTAATAAATGACTAATTCAGCATTTAAACCCAGGTCTCCCTGATTTAAAGACCAGCTTTCTACCCACTAAGACAGGCAGCTCAGGCTCTCCCTTATTTCCAGGTGCGACAGCCTCTCTTCCAGCGCAGCCCAACAGGCAGGCATGTACACTGGAAGATGTCTTTCTTCCCATCCCCACATCTGACACCCAGAGAAGTTCCCAAGGACATCACACAAGATCCCCAGGGATATCAGGACATCAGACTTCCTATGCTCAGTGTTTAGGGGGAGCCCTTGGCAATCAAGGCAGGAGAAAAAGGCAGATACTAATTGGTTCTCTCTGTTGCATAGCAGTTCTTTTATTTGTCTCCTATTAACTCCTTATCCATCATATCCCATTCCATCTTCTTTTCTCAGGCCTCCATTTCCAACCCAATTCCACCTCTCCCTCTGTAACAACCTTACTTTCTGCTTTCATGAGATCATGGTCTTTCCAAATGATGCCTCTCACCTCTTCTCTGCACTTCAACAACTCTTTAGATCATCTCTCATTCTGTTCTCCTTCCCTCTAGTTTCAGAGGGTGACATAGCTCTTCTTTCCTATCCTTTTAATTTTGTCCTTGATTTTATTCATCTTCCAGGGAGCTTCCTTTATCAATCATTCCATCCCTCTCTGTTTCTTTGTCTATTTTTGTCT